AACTGAGATGAAAAAAAACTTGAAAAATAAAAAGAAATTCTAACAAAAGTTCGTTTTTTCAACACCAAGACAATTTAGTTCGGCGTAAGGCCAAACGGCTTACGGGGCATAGGTAACGCGCTTGAAAGGGAAGTAATAACGTGGACTTTTACGATCCTTAAGGGCCTACATGTATTGTTTGGTGCTGGCTTTGTCTGCTCTAAGCTGAGAAATACATGTAATTAAGCGTAAAAATGAGTTTGACTACATGAGGATAAACTGGATTTGTTCAATAATCGACTTAGTGAAGTCTCCCATCGATCACTAGGCAAATCTGATAAAGCTGTTTTTAAAATTCGATGATGGTTTCACAATTTTCAGATAGCTTTACCTGCTCATTACGGAAGAGCGCATTCGTCGAATAAAATGCACTTACAAAGGATGGAAACTCGTTCGATGAATTTTTGGAGATTACTAGTTAATGCGTTAAAATGGTACAAACAAAAGTTTTCAAGAAAATGATTTGTTATTTCTTAATTTTTGTAAATTTACATAGTGAAATCAAGAAAAACATGAATATTCAGTGAGAACAACTTGAAGACTGAGGTAAACATAACAACATGAGCAAATTAAAAAGTCACTAAAAATGAAGAGCGCTCAGGTATTCCGGGGGTTTCTTCCAGTACTGGAACAAAGTAAGCTGTTGAACCCACTCGTTGAACAAACTCGCCATACGTTGGAAGTTTCTGGAATTTAGCTTCTACTTGGATCGTATATGAGATAAAAGTATCACACGAACGTCGTACTGCCAATCATGTCGATCAAATTTGAGCATTCGTCTACGCATCCAGTCACGAAGGGAAAGTTGACCAGAAGATTGAGCTCGCTCACAGTGTAGTGCGAATCTATCGTTGCTAAGAACATAGGCATTCCGTCCCCATTCCATGGCTGCCAGCAATACAAGAAGGTCGTCCTCAGATCTAGGCAAACAACTTCTCGTACTTTGTTAATGAAAAACACAAAAATACTCTTAGTACTGTCATTACCAATCAATTTCGATATGAGACCTCCAAAGCTGCAGAGATAACAGATAACAATAGGCCGACAATTTTTTTTTAAAATTTTCCCATGCAATCTAATGCGTGAAAGATTTTCCACAATTAGACATTGGCTATAACTCCAAATAACGTATTTGATCTCCTGAGCATAAGAGATACAAGATCTTTTTAACCCAACACACCTACTCGAAAGTCACCGAGCGAAGATACACTTCTACATAAGATTGTTAATCATTGGAAGAAAAATAAAATTTCAAAAGACTCGCAGTCAGAAGAAGTTTCACCGTCCAGGTTTACTGGATAATTGGAAATAATTAATATACAAATTTTTATTTCTGAACCGTTCTGGACCAAACTTCACACACTTTGGAGCATTGCGGAGAACGTAGGCTACTTTATCCGCAAAAATATCGATTAATTTTATCGATTTATTGGTTTTTTCGTAGTCCTCGCTCTAGATAGTTGAGAGCTGGTACATTGGGGTAAGTTGATATTCTGATTACAAATATGATAACCACTCAGAGATGTATCGATTGAGTCTATTGATTTGTTGATTTTTCGCAGTTTCTGGTCAAAGGCGCTGGGGTAACTTGATATGCCAATTACGAATCTGATATCCTCTTAAAAATTTATCGATCGATTCCATCGATTTATTGATTTTTCGCACTTTTTGTTTTGAGGAGTTGAGAGTTGATATGCTGGGGTAAATCGATATGCTGATTACGAATTTGATGACAACTTGAAGGTCTATCATATTATTTCATCAATTTGGCGATTTTTCGCTTTGAACTACTGGCCGCTACCAATAAGCAAAAATGTGCTAC